TTAGCTTAACAAAGAGCAATTAGTGACCAATCTAAATATAGATACGGAAAATGAGAAACTTTTGACTGTTTTTCATTTTTCTTCGTCTCTTCTCTTAGCGATAGTCGACAAGACATTAATGAAGTTATTTACAATGATGAAATCATCCGTCTTTTGTTCACTGAAAGCGTTCTGATAGTCGGTAGCCATTTTTGCATTTTTACTTGTATTTTTTTTTAAAGAAAGTCAATATCCTAAAGTTTTTGCTTTCTTTCGAAATTAATTATTCAAAGAAGATTAATTAACCGAGGGAGAGGATAAAAGCTGGAAAAAAATTGTATCAATTAGCTGTATTGGGGTTCCATTATGTCATGATAAGAACCAGACGAGATTGTAAGTTATTAGGCCGCCCACGCACACACATGCGCGCGTACCCCCTACACTATAATAAATATTTTGTATTAATTTGCTACTAATGCAGTGATTGTCATTTTTTTTTCTTTGTTTCATCTACCTTCAAAATATAAGCGATTATGGGCCTCCACAGCTTCCTGTCTTTTGATGCTTTACCCATTTGCTCTTCTGAATCTTTACCACCCCCTCTTTGTATCTGTTCTATTATTCACTCACACAAACTCATTAAGTAGATTACTTGCTGTATCTGCCTGCTTCTCTTGACTTTAAGACGAACAGCGGACATATTAAAGGCAAAGAGAGAGAGAGAGAGAGAGAGAGAGAGAGAGAGAGTATATATTAAAGGCGAGAGGGACAAAATACACATTAAAGGCAAAAGGACAAAGGAAATAATAAAGGCAAAAGGGACAGAGGACAATAAGGGGAAAGGACATATTAAAAGCAAGGGACAGAGGACATATTAAAGGCAAGGGGACAAAGGACATATTAAAAGCAAGAGGGACAGAGGACATATTGAAGGCAAGGGGACAGGACATATTAAAAGCAAGAGGGACAGAGGACATATTGAAGGCAAGGGGGACATATTAAAAGCAAGAGGGACAGAGGACATATTAAAAGCAAGAGGGACAGAGGACATGTTGAAGGCAAGAGGGACAGAGGACATATTGAAGGCAAGGGGGACAGAGGACATATTAAAAGCAAGGGGGAGGAAGAGGGACAGAGGACATATTAAAAGCAAGGGGACAGAGGGACATATTAAAAGCAAGAGGGACAGAGGACATATTGAAGGCAAGGGGACAGAGGACATATTAAAAGCAAGAGGGACAGAGGACATATTGAAGGCAAGGGGGACAGAGGACAGGGACAGAGGGCATATTGAAGGCAAGGGTGACAAAGGACATATTAAAAGCAAGAGGGACAGAGGACATATGAAGGCAAGGGGACAGAGGACATATTAAAAGCAAGAGGGACAGAAGACATATTAAAGGCAAGGGGGACAGAGGACATATTAAAAGCAAGAGGGACAGGGGACATATTGAAGGCAAAGGGGACAGAGGACATATTAAAAGCAAAAAGGACAGAGGGCATATTGAAGGCAAGGGGACAGAGGACATATTAAAAGCAAGAGGGACAGAGGGCATATTGAAGGCAAGGGGACAGAGGACATATTAAAAGCAAGTGGGACAGAGGGCATATTGAAGGCAAGGGGGACAGAGGACATATTAAAAGCAAGAGGGACAGAGGACATATTGAAGGCAGGGGGACAGAGGACATATTAAAAGCAAGAGGGACAGAGGGCACATTGAAGGCAAAGGGGACAGAGGACATATTAAAAGCAAAGGGACAGAGGGCATATTGAAGGCAAGGAGGACAGAGGACATATTAAAAGCAAGAGGGACAGAGGACATATTGAAGGCAATGGGGACAGAGGACATATAAAAAAGCAAGAGGGACAGAGGACATATTGAAGGCAAGGGGGACAGAGGACATATTAAAAGCAAGAGGGACAGAGGGCATAAAGGCAAAGGGGACAGAGGACATATTAAAAGCAAGAGGGACAGAGGACATATTGAAGGCAAGGGGACAGAGGACATATTAAAAGCAAGAGGGACAAAAAGACATATTAAAGGCAAGGGGACAGAGGACATATTAAAAGCAAGAGGGACAGGGGACATATTGAAGGCAAGGGGACAGAGGACATATTAAAAGCAAGAGGGACAGAGGGCATATTGAAGGCAAGGGGGACAGAGGACATATTAAAAGCAAGAGGGACAGAGGGCATATTGAAGGCAAGGGGGACAGAGGACATATTAAAAGCAAGAAGGACAGAGGGCATATTGAAGGCAAGGGGGACAGAGGACATATTAAAATCAAGAGGGACAGAGGACATATTGAAGGCAAGGGGGACAGATGACATATTAAAAGCAAGAGGGACAGAGGGTATATTGAAGGCAAGGGGGACAGAGGACATATTAAAAGCAAGAGGGACAGAGGGCATATTGAAGGCAAGGAGGACAGAGGACATATTAAAAGCAAGAGGGACAGAGGACATATTGAAGGCAAGGGGGACAGAGGACATATTAAAAGCAAGAGGGACAGAGGACATATTGAAGGCAAGGGGGACAGAGGACATATTAAAAGCAAGAGGGACAGAGGGCATATTGAAGGCAAGGGGGACAGAGGACATATTAAAAGCAAGAGGGACAGAGGACATATTGAAGGCAAGGGGGACAGAGGACATATTAAAAGCAAGAGGGACAGAGGACATATTGAAGGCAAGGGGGACAGAGGACATATTAAAAGCAAGAGGGACAGAGGACATATTGAAGGCAAGGGGGACAAAGGACATATTAAAAGCAAGAGGGACAGAGGACATATTGAAGGCAAATATAAAAAGAGAAACAGCAAAAACTTTACCTAACGAACTTATGTAAATATTTCGCAGAACTGGGAGGAATACACATTGTTTAGTGCTATAAGGATAAGAGGTTGTGGAGAACCGTGATCTTCCATCCCCTGAAAGGATAAGGCACATAAATTAGATTATTCATAAGGGTGAGAAAGAAAGTGGGAGCATAAAATATAGCAATCATAGGTCAAAATTGAAATATTATACATAACATAATGGCCAAATAATCAGTGAAACTCCAAGTTCAATATATAATCGATATATTCAAATTAACAACATTTTTTTGTAATAACTACAATGGAATAATAACTGAATACGAGATCAAAAGTTATTCCCGAAAATATTTACATATATATGTAAAACTGGAAGCTGCTTTCTAAAATGACGCCCAATAAGTTGTTGACCGGGGCAATAAATGAGTTGTAAATTTTAACGTCTCACTATCGAGAGCAATTTTTGTCTTCGATCAGCATGGTTGATGGTAACCTCAAAGAAAGCAACTCATTGCTAAGGTTTTCCACAGGTTTGAGGTGGAGTGGTTATATTGAGTCAATTCCTAGGACTGCTGATAGGACAGGTGGTTCACTGTACCGTGCCAGACAATTTTTTCGTCAGAATCCATCTTACACATTATTTACATTATATAATCTTTGTCGCCATATTTATTACAACGTTTCTCAGAATCCATCTTACACATTATTTACATTATATAATCTTTGTCGCCATATTTATTACAACGTTTCTCAGAATCCATCTTACACATTATTTACATTATATAATCTTTGTCGCCATATTTATTACAACGTTTCTCAGAATCCATCTTACACATTATTTACATTATATAATCTTTGTCGCCATATTTATTACAACGTTTCTCAGAATCCATCTTACACATTATTTACATTATATCATCTTTGTCGCCATATTTTTACAACGTTTCGACCGTGGTGAAAATATCGAACTGAACCCTTTATTTCGCTCACTGGAGTAGACTGTTCTAGTTCCACGTGCCAGTGGATGTCAGTTATCAGTTATCTCCTGTTAATTCACCTTAACCGGGTATTGAACTCACACTCTTTGGGTGCTGCCATTAGATCTAACCAACGCCTTTATGCACTGTGCCATCTGTCCTGAGGACATCTGTGTATGAATTTCTGGGTAATATAAACCTAATGTTTCGGCAACCATTTTTCCCAGTGCTCATATTGCAATTTTTGCTGTCAATACGTGTTTTTACCAGAGTTCATATTGCAACTTTTGTTGTTATTATTGCTTTTCTCTACACAGATATCCTCAAAGACACATGGCACAGTGGATAAAGGCGTTGGTTAGATCCAGTGACAGGACCCAAAGAGTGTGGGTTCAATACTCGGTTAAGGCAGTGGAGAACTTTCAGAGGGAAATTAACAGGAGATAACTGATAACTGACATCCATCAAACATGGCACGTGGAACTAGAACAGTCTACCCCAGTGAGCGAAATAAAGGGTTCAGTTCGACATTCCAACCACCTGATGAAGGACGGTGCGTACAACGGCCGAAACGTTGTAATAAATATGGCGACAAATATGAAGACAATAGTCCGAATAATGTAAATAATGTACATAATACCGCATCTCAGAAATATGGACAGATCAATCTTACACATTTATAAATCTACCATTCATCAGTGCATTGAATATCGTTGCTTTCTATGATCTAGTACCCCTCTTATATATCACGAGATTCTTGACAATAATCCAAAGAAGGTCTGTAATGTTGTTGGTTCTGACCTGGCATCTCGGCTTCAGTCACTTTTCCATCACCATGATGTGGTTTCACTTTGTATTTTTCTATAAATGGCAGTTGTTCTAATGAACTCTCCTCCCTCGCTATCTCGACGGCATGACTTTATGCATACAACTAGATTGACTGTTAGGTCTCATTGTTTTACTATTTAATTACATAGATGCAATCGTATGTCATATTTGAATAGTTTTGTTCTTTGCATTTTTCGCCTGTGGAAAAATCTTCAGAAATTTAAATGCAATGTCAATCGCCATCTCCTGTCTTCCTGAATGCTGTTCTTTTATTGTATTTTCTCTTTTCCAATATCTTCTCGTTGTCTTTCACTCCCAGTGACTCCCTTGCGTCTTAGTGGCTTCATCGCCTTGCATTTGATGACAAACTGAAAAACTGGCAAGAGGACGACGTATCACATGTGGAATCTAGGCATCAAAGACTTATTGAAGTAATATTCACGCCACTCAAAAACAGGAATTTCACTCGAATACAAAATTTTTAAAAAAATGAAAAAGCAAAAGAAGTAATAGACTCTCAAAATAGAATTAAAGAAGGACAGAAAATTCATTCTGATCCCCTGTAGTACGGATGTGTTGGATGGAGGGACGAAAATTAGTTAAAGTATCCACTGATCTACACTTTGATATAAACGTGTGGTGGGTAAATTATCTAGAGATGGGGAAAAAGGCGGAAAAGAAAGATCAATGACCGATCTTGACTTGTGGGTCAGTAAATCAACCGAGACACTTATTCTGTTTCCTGCATCGTTTCTGTTGACTTTGGATGCGAAGACTTGCAGGAATATTAGTTACAAGACACCAATAAGTAAAATGTAAATACGGTTAGTCACGCAGCGGACTTGCCTCTTGATTCTGGATCGTTTCTTTTCTTTTCCTTTTCCTGGTTAGGGAGTAACAAAATGTTGGCGTTCGTCGGATTGAAACGAAAAGGAACGAAGTTAATCCGCACTTGAATGGTCGTTTAAATTAATACGTCACCTGATTATATATTATCAACTTGTGAAAAGGGCTTCTAATATCTGTAGTTTACATGAAGTTTACTTCGGTCTATTTGTCGAAAAAAAGTTCTGCCATCTATCTATCTATCTATCTATCTATCTATCTATCTATCTATCTACCTATCTTTTAGTCTGTTCTTATCTATCTATCTATCTATCTATCTATCTATCTATCTATCTATTTCAGTTTGTTCATATCTATCTATCTATCTATCTATCTATCTATCTATCTATTTCAGTTTGTTCATATCTATCTATCTATCTATCTATCTATCTATCTATCTATCTATCTATCTATCTATACTGTTCAGATGTATCTGTCTCCCACTAGCTATCTCAATAGGATTATACACACACACACACACACACACACATATATATATATATATATATATATATATATATATATATATATAGCTCAATCGGTGCATGTCTATCTATATTAACATCTATCTTTCTATCTACCTCTTTGTTGATATATTTCTACCTAGTGTGCTCATGCTCAGTCTGTTTATACATATGTGTGTGTGTGTGGGAGGTATCTATGTATCTATCTATCTATTTATCTATCTATCTATTTTTGTGGATATCTATCTTGCTTGCTCATGCCCAGTCTCTCTCTCTATCTATATATATATATATATATATATATTTATATAGCCCAATCTTTTCAGATCTATCTCATTCTGTTCATATCTATCTATCTATCTATCTATCTATCTATCTATCTATCTCGTTCTGTTCATATCTATCACCGTCTGTTCATATCTATCTATCTATCTATCTATCTATCTATCTATCTATCTATCTATCTATCTATCACATAGAGATATCCCATCAGGCTATTATCAGTTGTATTTGTCTTTGGTTTTGTATCCCAACAAAAAAAGAAACCGAATAGAAGACTTGCAGTTTTCTCACCAAATGATTCAATTTCCGATGTCGTCCATGGCCGGCCTAAAAAAACAAACTTAACTTCTACGGTTGAAATTTTCAAATATTTCTTGACTCAATCGTCTTTTTTTTTTTTTTTTCTATTGTTCCTTTTTTTTATATTTAGCAGTTTCTTTTTTTCCAAGATTTTTTCCATGTCGATCTATTGAACATTTCTTCATTGTACTTCGTGTATCTCTTCTTGCTTAATTTCTATGTCGCTATTCTTACATTTTTTTAAATGAATTACGTATAAAAACTAAAAAAAAAATTATGTATACTTTCGAGATGAATTCTTTCCTCTCAGTGAGTAGGAATCGTTCATGGTTTGAAGTTCTGTTTTCACTGTTGAATGTTTCTTTCTTCCTTCGTTTCTTTTTTTTTCATTCTTTCCATTGCTGAAGACTCCTTCCTAAGTTTCTTCCTTCCTTCCTCTCGGCATTCTAACTATCTCTTTCCTTCTTCCTTTCTTTCTTTTTTCGATATTTCTACCTTGTCTCTTGCTTAATGCTTCTTTCTTCGCATTATTGAATTTCTTTTTTTCCTTCCTTTCCTTTTGTTGCTTCCTGACTCTTTCTTTCTTTTTTTTCTCACTGTTGAATGATTTTTCTTTCGTTCTTCTCATTATTACCTCTTTCTTTCTTTCGTTCTTTCTTTCTTTCTTTCTTTCTTTCTTTCTTTCTTTCTTTCTTCTCAATGTTGAACACTTCTCCCGTCATCTTTCTTTTTTTCTTTCTTTCTTTCTTCTCAATATTGAACACGTCTTCTGTAATTTTTCCCACATTCTTTCTTTCTTTCTTTCTTTCTTTCTTTCTTTCTTTCTTTCTTTCTTCTCAATGTCATCTTTTTTTTTTTTTTCTTTTCTCTTTCTTCTCAATATTGAACACTTCTCTGTAATTTTTCTTTTCTTTCTTTCTTTCTTTCTTTTTTCTTTCTTTCTTTTTCTTCTCAATGTTGAACACTTCTCCCGTCATTTTCCCACATTCTTTCTTCTCAATATTTGAACTTTTCTTCATCTTTCTTTCTTTCTTTCTTCTTTTTCTTTCTTTCTTCTCGATGTTGAACACTTCTCCCGTTTTCCCACATTCTTTCTTCCTTTCTTTCTTTCTTTCTTTCTTTCTTTCTTTCTTTCTTTCTTTCTTTCTTCTCGATGTTGAACACTTCTCCCGTCATCTTTCTTTCTTTCTTTCTTTCTTTTTCTTTCTTCTCGATGTTGAACACTTCTCCCGTCTTCTTTCTTTCTTTCTTTCTTTCTTTCTTCTCGATGTTGAACACTTCTCCCGTCATCTTCTTTCTTTCTTTCTTTCTTTCTTTCTTTCTTTCTTTCTTTCTTTCTTCTCATTGATGTCTGCTTGTTTGTTTCTTTCTTTCTTTCCATTCTTGAAGCAATATTTCTTTCATTAATTTATATTACTGTCGTCCTTAATATATTCTATTTTTCCTTCCTTCTTTTCTTCACTTCTTTTTTATTTATCTTTTTGGTTGGTCTTCTCTTTTAAATCCGTATAAGTCTGTTGCATCTCTTTTTATCACTCGACTGACTCTCACCTTATTTTCCTTCTCTCTTTAGTTACAATCTCTCTTTTATACTTGAACACTTACAACGCGACTAACAAATATTCTTGTTTCAACAGCTGCTCTCTAATAATAACACTATCCACTTCACAATATAGGACATCGTTTAAAAACTAACCTAACAAATCAAATTCTTTTTCGTGCTTCTTAACGTCACTCACAACTGAAATATCAAGTTAACAAATACTGTTTCAGCCATATTGCTATGACGTGAGGGCGAAACGTTTTAATTAAATGAGAACATTTTTATTGAACAACCCTCAGCTCTCCGTTTGAAAGAATAGGCCCACGTGTTTGAAAAGTAGTGTTTGCTAGTTGCGTCGTTAATTTTATCTTTGAAAATAGGTTCTTTGTTTTTAGATTTTTTTAAAGTGTTGTTTATTTATATTTAAAAAAAAACATTGGAAGAGGAAAATATTTTTAAATTTAACCAATTTTTATACAAATCTAGTTGATTGTATTTTTCATTGTTTGCCATGTTTACCTTTGAAATAATTGACAAATTTTTAACGTTTTCTCAAGTATGACACTTTGTTCTTTCTTTTCTTCGTTCTTTTCTTTCCTTCTTTCTTTTCTTCTTTTTATCATTTTTCTTTATTCTTTCTTTTCTCTTTTTCATTCTTTCTTCATTCTTTCCTCATTTTTCTTTCTATGGGTTTTCTTTCTTTTGTTATTTTTTCTTTCCTTTTTCTTTTTCTCTTTCTTTTTCTTTTTCTTTCTTTATTTCATCATTCATAGTTAACAATTTTTATTAACTTTTCTCTTGTACATTGCTTTCTTTCTTTCGCTTGCGTACTGCTTCTTTCTTTCTTTCTCCTCGCTATTGAATGATCTTTTCTTTCATTATTCTCACTATTGAATGCTTTTTTTATTGTTTGTTTGTTTGTTTGTTTCTTTCTTTCTTTATTCTCATTTTTGAAGTAATTTTCTTTCGTTGTTTTTCTCTTTTTTATTTTTCTTAATTTCTTTTTCTTCTTTCTTTCTTTGTTTCTTTTTTTGGTATATCTATTGCTGCCATATATGGGCTGGAGCACCTTCTGCTTACCTCGGAGTTCTTGACAAGATCCAGAGAAGGATATGTAATCTAATTGGCCCTGATCTAGCGTCTTGCTTGCAGTCACTCTCTCACAGACGCGCCGTCGCCTCTCTCTGTCTTTTCCACAAATAGTTCCATGGTAACTGCTCTGATGAGCTGCTCTCTCTGGTTCCCAGACTCCATGAATTCAAGCGCCCTACGAGGCTGGCATCCCGCTCTCACCCTTAGACCGTAGAAACCTTCAAATGTAGCCGTCTCTTCTACTCCAATAGCTTCATACCTCGCACCTCTCGCCAGTGGAACACCCTCCCCAATTACTGTTTCCTGAAAGCTATAATCTCCAACTATTCAAATGTAATGTCAATCGACATCTCAATTACCTTGATCTACCCACTATCCCTCTCCTCTTCCCTTTCTCTTATCACTCTTATCTGCTCTCGCTCCAAATCTTCCGCAACCCCCTGCATCCTAGTGGCTTCACGCCTTGCTTGGGGCACAATGCATAAAAAAAAAAAAAAAAAAATATCTGAAGTAATTTTTATTTCGTTATTTTTCTCTTTTTCATTCTTTTTTTCTTTTTTCTTTTCCTCTTTTTTTTTCTTTCTTTTTTCTCTCTTTTTCTTTCTTTTTTCTTTCTTTGTCTTTTCTTTCTTTTTCTTTTCTCTTTCTTTCTTTCGTTTTTTCTCTCTTTTATTCTTTCTTTCCAGGAGACTTCTATCTGGTCAATAATTATAGAACAAAATCTGCTTCCACTATATTTTCTCTGCTTAAACCCTGCAAAACAGCAGGTTAAAGAAGAAAAAAAGGATCATTAAAAGACAGAGAGACACACATCGTCATTTTTTGTCCAAGTAAATCTCCCCCAGAGCTAGCCATCACACTTGTCAGAGTTTCCTAATGCTGCTTGATCGATCCGTCTATATCCACTTCTTATTTCCATGGAAAGTTTACTCCGATCACAAAACGATTAATTTCATTATCTACCCATCGATCTTTGCGCGTTCATTGAATTTAAACATTTATTTGCCAATTAAAGTTTTGATGACAATTTTAGACAATGCTTACTTCACTCAACAAATTTAATAATGTACAAGATAAAAAAATATTTAGATATGAATACAAGGGAGATAATTAGTATGTAGACTGAAGGAGTTTAAATATGTTCAATGGAAATCGCTCTTTGAATCCCTTTCATATTGTGTCCATTACTCTAGGTTTAAATGTTCAAGCAAATGAAATTGTATTTGTAGTGATTAAGGATACTATGGAGATGTGCTTCTAGGTCAGTGGAGATGTGCTTCTAGGGCTGTGGCTATGAACACTGTTAGTAGAATCGGCGTGTCTAGTTCAAATTCCAACCTAGTTTGTTGCTTTCACTATCGCACAAATACCCTTGGAATGAATTCATACCCCCTCCCAGCTATGGTCTAAATAGCTAGTATCTCTAGTCTTTGTTAAGAAAAAGACAATTCCAAATTCAAAACTGTTTGAGCATGAATCTGGTAACAAAACCCCATAAAAAGCTATTTGACATCGGTTGATAATAGAATAAAATTCGCTAATGTAGATTTAATTTTTGAAATTAATCTAGATTTGGAGTTTTTCCTTTTGATTCATCATATATATATATATATATATATATATATATATATATATATATATATATAAGTGTATGCGTATGCGTGTGTGTGTATGATCTTCTTCACTTTTGCTTCCAATTCTATTATACATTCGATAATTTGGTTGTTGTTGTGAGTTAAATTTTAAGGAAATTCTCTGAGACCAACACCAAACCTAATATCGAACCCGCCTGTAGTTGTAGATCTATATATATTTGTCCAGTTGAGGACGAATGCAAATCTATCTGGGTTATATATCAAGCGACCATTTCTCCCAAAGACAATATGGAAAAAAATGTCTGCATTGGAATTTACACAGAGGAGTGGAAGCAAAGATTTAATACACAGAAGTACTCATTCTCTAGCCCTAAACTAAAACACCAAACAGCTCTTTCAAAAAAAATTTGGGTAATTAAAGTACGAAAAGTTATACCTACAAATAGTTTGGAAACGTTCTGCACAAACTTGTAATAGTTTTATAGGTATGTGTAATTTATGCTTAGAAGAAAAAAATAAAATAATAAAATGCAATAATAAAAGCCAACTCTTGAATCAGAGGAACGAATTAGTGTTCAAATGTCGACATAAAAACAAATTCTAATTTCTATAATATAATTTCGTCTTAATTAGCTACCCTAAATCATTCCACGACTCCTATCCTCTCTAAATCATCAAATGTCGACATGGTAATAAATTCATATTTCTATTGTGTAATTTTGCCTTTTTCGCTACCTTAAATCCTTCCCCTCTCCCACCTCCTCTAAAACCATTTTATGCTATATTAATTATAATTTATAATCTTTCCTCTACTTAGAATATTCCCTAATTCTCTTTCCGATCCTTAGCTATGATTAATTAATGATGAACATGTCATTTTTCTTTCATGATCGATTTCATCACGATATTTCTGTTAAGCTTAGAGAGTAATTATACATTCATATTGCTTTTTTTATCAAAGTTCAAAATTACCCTATGCAAAAGTATTGGATACATGACACTTTTTTCAAATTTCCAAAATGGCGAACATAAACTAGAGTTATAACAGAAAATAACATGTATCCAATACTTATGCGTGTCAATATATATATATATATATATATATATATATATATATATGTGTGTGTGTGTGTGTGTGTGTGTGTGTGTGTGTGTATACATACACACACATATATATATATATATGTGTGTGTGTGCGTGTGACATACACACACATATATATATATATGTGTGTGTGTGTGTGTGTGTGTACATACACACATATATATATATGTGTGTGTGTGTGTGTGTGTGTGTGTGTACACACACACACACACATATATATATATATATATATATATATATATATATATATATATATGTGTGTGTGTTATACCTGATATATATATATATATATATATATATATATATATATATGTGTGTGTGTGTGTGTGTGTGTGTGTGTGTATTTTGTACACAACTGCAAACTCAAACCCAAAAATAAAAAGTTTTGCTCTTGGTGGAAGGGAGAGTGTTGAGGTAAGCCTCTCGTTCTTAGCCCTTAATCAAGAATGCCACGAACTGATATACAGGTTAGTGGCTGTATCGTTTATAGAAATACTGAACCAACGCGCCTTAGATAATAACAAAATGGAAGTGAAATTAGGTTTTGGGGGTAAAATTATAACACTCTCTCCGAAGTTGATGTTGTTGCGAAGATAAGGGCAGAGAATTAGCGTAAGTTCTTGGACAGGATTTTCTTTTGTTAGTGTTACACTTACAACCAAGAAACTTTAAG